AACAGGCCCACACTTCCCAATGAAATACTAATAAGGTTGTTGTTGTAGGTTTTTTTTTTTCCGGGCTATATGGCCATGTTCTAGAGGCATTTTCTCCTGACGTTTCGCCTGTATCTATGGTAAGCATCCTCAGAGGTAGTGAGGTCTATTGGAACTAGGAAAATGGGTTTATGTATCTCTGGAATGACCAGGGTGGAACAAAGGCCTCTTGTCTGCTGGAGCTAGGTGTGAATGTTTCAACTGACCACCTTGATTAGCATTTGATGGCCTGGCAATATATTAAATACTAATAAGTTTATATTTGTTAAAATTGTTCTTCATTTTAATTATTGTATTGTTCTAAAGTGCTTTTTGCACTACAAATAAGATACGTGCACCGTGCATAGGAATTCATTCATTTTTTTCAAATTATAATCCGGCCCTCCAACAGTTTGAGGGACTGAGACCTGGCCCTCTGTTTAAAAAGTTTGTGGACCCCTGTTCTAGAGGCATTCTCTCCAAATGTTTCACCTGCAACTATGGCAAGCATCCTCAGAGCTAGTGAGGTCTGTTGGAACTAGGAAAGTGAGTCTATATATCTGTGGAATGACCAGGGTGGGACAAAGGACTCTTGTCTGCTGGAGCTAGGTGTGAATGTTTCAACTGACCACCTTGATTAGCAATTTTAGAGTTTTTAGAGAACTTTAGAACATGAAAGGCACTGCAGACTACTCCAACCAGAGAAGTCAGCCATAGCAGAGCACCTGATGAACCAACCTGGACACAGCATATTATATGAGAACTCAGAAATGCTGGACCACTCTCACAACCACCATGTCAGGCTGCACAGAGAAGCCGTTGAAATCCAGAAGCATGTGGACAATTTCAACAGAAAGGAGGAAATCATGAAAATGAACACAATCTGGCTACCAGTATTAAATAGAACTCTAAAATTTAAACAGCAAAACAGCAGAGGGAAAACAATCAGGGACATCTAATCACCTCTCAACAAAAAGATTGCTCCAGGCACTTCCAGGCTATCAAATGCTAAATCAAGGTGGTCAGTTGAAACATTCACACCTAGCTCCAGCAGACAAGAGTCCTTTGCCCCACCCTGGTCATTCCACAGATATATAAACCCTTTTTCCTAGTTCCAACAGACCTCACTACCTCTGAGGATGCTTGCCATAGATGCAGGCGAAACGTCAGGAGAAAATGCCTCTAGAACATGGCCATATAGCCCGAAAAAACCTACAACAACCCAACATTAAAAACATTTATCAAAATATTAAAATACACCATTTAAAACCATCCTAGTCATCCATGTCAAATCTAATTGGCCTGGTCCTCTTTCCTATTGCTGCTTTATTGCCCTGTCCTGAAAGCGTGGTCCCACAGCCAAGTTTGTGTGTTATTGTTCATTTGTTCAGTCATTGCCGACTCTTTGTGACTTCATGGACCATCTCACGTCAGAGCTCCCTGTTGGCCGTCACCACCCCAAGCTCCTTCAAGGTCAATCCAGTCACTCCAAGGATGCCATCCATCCATCTTGCCCTTGGTCGGCCCCTCTTCATTTTTCCTTCCATTTTCCCCAGGATCATTGTCTTCTCCAAGCTTTCCTTTCTTCTCACGAAGTGGCCAAAGTACTTCAACTTTGTCTCTAGTATCCTTCCCTCCAATGAGCAGTCGGGCTTTATTTCCTGGAGGATGGACTGGTTGGATCTTCTCGCAGTCCAAGGCACTCTCAGAATTTTCCTCCAACACCACAGCTCAAGAGCATCTCTCTCCCTTCGCTCAGCCTTCCTTCTGGTCCAGCTCTCGCATCCGTAGGTGACTATGGGGAATACCATTGCTTTTACTATCCAGATCTTCGTTGCCAGTGTGCTACTCTTCACTATTTTATCGAGATAAAATTTATCGAGAAGCCTCCCAGAAGGATGATAAAAACATCAAATCATCTGGGCAGATGGCCAATTCTCTCACACCAGAAGCCACTTGCACTCTCTCAAGTTGCTCCTGACACGACAAAAAGGTTCTGGGTTTGAGCCTGCCTCTTTTGGACTCTTGCTTGCTGAGGTGTTCCTCTAAGTATCTCTGTAGGTCTTAGGAAGATTGAAGGCATTGTCTTGCTGGCTCCCATGGGATTCTTTCTCATGTGAGGCTCTCCAGGTGGGAAGTGTGTGAGATAGTTCAGGAAGCTTTCCAGACTCTGATACTGTTTAACTTCCAGGGCGCTGTTGGGTCTGAACCAATACTGCCTCTTTTGGACTCTTGATTGCTGAGGTGTTCCGCTAAGTCAGTGGTTCTCAACCTGGGGTCCCCAGATATTTTTGGCCTACAACTCCCAGAAAACCCAGCTAGTTTGCCAGCTGTTAGGATTTCTGGGAGTTGTAGGCCAAAAACATCTGGGGACCCCAGGTTGAGAACCACAATTAAGTACCTCTGTAGGTCTCAGGAAGCGGTTTCTTGATTGGAGGAGTTGTCTTGCTGGCTCCCATGATACTGTTTAACTTCCAGGGTGCTGCTGGGTCTGTACCAATACTGCCTCTTTTGGACTCTTGCTTGCTGAGGTGTTCCTCTAAGTATCTCTGTAGGTTTTAGGAAGCTGTTTCTTGATTGAAGGAGTTGTCTTGCTGGCTCCCGTGGAGTTCCTCCTCGCATGAGGCTCTCCAGGTGGGAAGTGTGTGAGATAGTTCAGGAAGCTTTCCAGACTCTGATACTGTTTAACTTCCAGGGTGCTGCTGGGTCTGTACCAATACTGCCTCTTTTGGACTCTTGCTTGCTGAGGTGTTCCTCTAAGTATCTCTGTAGGTCTCAGAAAGCTGTTTCTTGATTGGAGGAGTTGTCTTGCTGGCTCCCATGATACTGCTTAACTTCCAGGGTGCTGCTGGGTCTGTACCAATACTGCCTCTTTTGGACTCTTGCTTGCTGAGGCGTTCCTCTAAGTATCTCTGTAGGTTTTAGGAAGCTGTTTCTTGATTGAAGGAGTTGTCTTGCTGGCTCCCGTGGAGTTCCTCCTCGCATGAGGCTCTCCAGGTGGGAAGTGTGTGAGATAGTTCAGGAAGCTTTCCAGACTCTGATACTGTTTAACTTCCAGGGTGCTGCTGGGTCTGTAGCAAACCTGGGGAAATGCAAAGGAATGCTATCCCATGCAGCTAAAAGACAATGTAAACCATGCTCCTGGAAGACGGAACACTGCCTCTTTTGGACTCTGGCTTGCTGAGGTGTTCCTCTAAGTATCTCTGTAGGTTTTAGGAAGCTGTTTCTTGATTGAAGGAGTTGTCTTGCTGGCTCCCGTGGAGTTCCTCCTCGCATGAGGCTCTCCAGGTGGGAAGTGTGTGAGATAGTTCAGGAAGCTTTCCAGACTCTGATACTGTTTAACTTCCAGGGTGCTGCTGGGTCTGTACCAATACTGCCTCTTTTGGACTCTTGCTTGCTGAGGTGTTCCTCTAAGTATCTCTGTAGGTCTCAGAAAGCTGTTTCTTGATTGGAGGAGTTGTCTTGCTGGCTCCTGTGATACTGTTTAACTTCCAGGGTGCTGCTGGGTCTGCAGTAACCCTGCCAAATTGGACTCTTGCGTGCTGAGGTGTTCCTCTAAGTATCTCTGTAGGTCTTAGGAAGCTGTTTCTTGATTGGAGGAGTATTCTTGCTGGCTCCAGTGATACTGTTTAACTTCCAGGGTGCTGCTGGAGTTGTAGCAACACTGCCTCTTTTGGACTCTTGCTTGCTGAGGCGTTCCTCTAAGTATCTTTGTAGGTCTTAGGGAGCTGTTTCTTGATTAAAGGAGTTGTCTTGCTGGTTCCCTCTCCTGTGAGGCTCTCCAGGTGGGAAGCGTGTGAGATAGTTCAGGAAGCTTTCCAGACTCTGATACTGTTTAACTTCCAGGGTGCTGCTGTGTCCACAGCAACACTGCCTCTTTTGGACTCTGGCTTGCTGAGGCGTTCCTCTAAGTATCTCTGTAGGTCTTAGGAAGCTGTTTCGTGATTGAAGGAGTTGTCTTGCTGGCTCCTGTGGGGTTCCTTCTCCTGTGAGGCTCTCCAGGTGCAAAGCGTGTGAAATAGTTCAGCAAGCTTTCCAGACTCTGATACTGTTTAACTTCCAGGGTGCTGCTGGGTCTGCAGCAACACTGCCTCTTTTGGACTCTTGCTTGCTGAGGTGTTCCTCTGATTATCTCTGTAGGTTTTAGGGAGCTGTTTCTTGATTGGAGGAGTTGCCTTGCTGGCTCCCGTGGGGTTTTCATGATTGGAGGAGTTGTCTTGCTGGCTCCTGTGGGGTTCCTTCTCCTGTGAGGCTCTCCAGGTGGGAAGAGTGTGAGATAGTTCAGGAAGCTTTCCAGACTCTGATACTGTTTAACTTCCAGGGTGCTGCTGGGTCTGCAGCAACACTGCCTCTTTTGGACTCTTGCTTGCTGAGGTGTTCCTCTGATTATCTCTGTAGGTTTTAGGGAGCTGTTTCTTGATTGGAGGAGTTGCCTTGCTGGCTCCCGTGGGGTTTTCATGATTGGAGGAGTTGTCTTGCTGGCTCCTGTGGGGTTCCTTCTCCTGTGAGGCTCTCCAGGTGGGAAGAGTGTGAGATAGTTCAGGAAGCTTTCCAGACTCTGATACTGTTTAACTTCCAGGGTGCTGCTGGGTCTGTAGCAACCCTGGGAAAATGCAAAGGAATGCTATCCCATGCAGCTAAAAGACAATGTAAACCATGCTCCTGGAAGATGGAACACTGCCTCTTTTGGACTCTGGCTTGCTGAGGTGTTCCTCTAAGTATCTCTGTAGGTCTTAGGGAGCTGTTTCTTGATTGAAGGAGTTGCCTTGCTGGTTCCCCTGGGGTTCCTTCTCGCGTGAGGCTCTCCAGGTAGGAAGCGTGTGAGAGAGTTCAGGAAGCTTGGAGAAAGCCCCCCAGACTGAGGAAGTGAGGGGACGGAGGCCGCGCCCCCTTTAAATGTCCTCCACCCGCGTGGCATGCCGGGAGCCGTAGTCTTAAGGAGTGTCGGGACTCCCCTCCGCCAATGAGCGCTCCCGACGCGCCCGACTACAACTCCCATGATTCCATCGCGGCGAGGCCTAGCCGGGGCGTCGGAGGCGACGCTGAGGGAAGGCGGGAGGGAAGGCGAGCGCGGCCTAGGCCTTTCCAGAGGCTTCTCCTCCGTGCGGGCTTTCTCCGGAGATGAGGCCAGGATGTCCTCGTCGGTGTCAGGGCTGAAGGCCGAGCTGAAGCTGCTGGAGTCCATCTTCGGGAAGGAGCACGAGCGCTTCCGCGTCCTCTCCTGGCGCCTCGACGAGCTCCACTGCCAGTTCCTCCTCCTGCCCTCCTCGCCTCAGCAGCCCCTCGCCATCCACTGCAACATCACGGTGAGAGCCAGCAAGCAAGGAAGGAAGGAATGAGGGGAGGGAAGGGAGGGAAAAAAGGAGCGGGCCTCCCCGCGGCCTAGCGCCCACCCGCCAGCCTGCCTCGCAGTAGGAGCCTCCTCCGCAGGCTGGGGCCTGCAACTCCCACCAGGCCTCACGGCCCACTACAACTCCCAGAAGCCCCCAACCGAGGAGGAAGGGTGGGAGATACAGGCCCAAAACCCTGGGACCCCCCCCCCCCAAAATTGGGCCAGGAAAGTTTGCCCCTCATGTTCCTTCATTATATTATTATAAATATTATAATTTCCATCTTGTCTTTACTAATAATATAGTATATTGTAGATACATATAATAACATTGTATTATTCTTACTAGTATTATATTGTACTACATTATAAATATTATAATTTCAATCTCATCTTTACTAATAATATAATATATTGTATATACATATAACAATATTGTATTCTTATTACTAGTATTATATTGTATATACATATAATAATATTGTATTATTACTACTATTATATTGTACTACATTATTAATATTATAATTTCAATCTTGTCTTTACTAATAATATAATATATTGTATATACATATTGTATTATTACTAGTATTATATTGTATTACATTATATTATAAATATTCTAATTTCCATCTTGTCTTTACTAATAATATAGTATATTGTATATACATATAATAATAATTTATTATTATTACTAGTATTATATTGTATATACATATAATAATATATTATTATTAGTAGTATTATATTGTACTACATTATAAATATTATCATTTCCATCTTGTCTTTACTAATAATATAATATATGGTATATACATATAATAATATTAGCATTATTATTAGTAGTATTATATTGTACTACATTATAAATATTATAATTTCCATCTTGTCTTTACTAATAATATAATATCTTGTATATACGTATAATAATATTGTATTATTATTACTAGTACTATATTATAAATATTATAATTTCCATCTTGTCTTTACTAATAATATAATATCTTGTATATACATATAATAATATTGTATTATTATTACTAGTATTATATTGTATTGCATTATAATATGATAAATATTATAATTTCCATCTTGTCTTTACTAATAATATAGTATATTGTAGATACATATAATAATATTGTATTATTATTACTAGTATTATATTGTACTGCATTATAATATTATAAATATTATAATTTCCATCTTGTCTTTACCAATAATATAATATATTGTATATACATATAATAATATTGTATTATTATTACTAGTATTACATTGTATTAAATTATAATATTATAAATATTATAATTTCCACCTTGTTCTTACTAATAATATAATGTCTTGTATATACATATAATAATATTGTATTATTGTTACTAGTATTATATTGTACTACATTATAAATATTATAAATATTATAATTTCCATCTCGTCTTTACTAATAATGTAATATATTGTATATACATATAATATTTATAATAGTATAATGTAATACAATATAATACTAGTAATAATAATACAATATTATAATTATATATTTTAGATTACATGTAATATTACTAATAATATCACAATATAATGGTATAGTGCAACATAGTAATGTATAATACTGATATTATACTATGCTAATGATATAAGATATTGTATGTATATATTTACTTATTTACTTACTTCATTTGTATACCGCTTTTCTCAGCCCTTAGGTGACTCAAAGCGGCTAATAATAGGAAAAATTCAATGCTAAACATCATAAAGACAGTTAAGAGACAATTAAAACAATAACATAGTAAACAATTAAACATCAGTGTAACATCTCATTAGTGTCTCATCAGTAGAATCAAGATCCAATCTCATCATCCGTTGTTCTGTATTCCTATATTCATTACACTGCCTATTCAAATGCCTGCTCGAACAGCCAGGTCTTCACTTTCCTCCGAAATGCCAATAGGGAGGGGGCCGATCTAATTTCTGTAGGAAGGGCGTTCCACAGCCGAGGGGCCACCACTGAGAAGGCCCTGTCTCTCGTTCCCGCCAGGCGCGCCTGCGATGCAGGCGGGACTGAGAGCAGGGCCTTCCCAGATGATCTTAATGTCCTAGCTGGTTCATAGGAGGAGATGCATTCGGACAGGTAAGATATATATATATATATATCTTGTAAGCTGCTCTGAGTCCCCTTCGGGGTGAGAAGGGCAGTATATAAATGTCGTAAATAAATAAAATAAATATAAGTAATATAGAATAATATATTATTATATATTATGTTATTAATATATTATTATAATATATAATTATAATAATGGGACCCTGACAATAATAAAGGAATATAATATTATTAATATTATTATATTCCTTTATTATTGCCAGGGTCCCTTTATTATAATTTGAGGTCTGGAATGCTTGTCCCTTGTAGCGTTGGCAGGTATCCCTTCTTGAGAGATAAAAAATTGACACAAAATTTGGACACTATACTCCTGAGAGACCAACAAGTGACCATCACTCATAACCACCCCCCCCCCAAAAAAAAAAAACTGTGGAAAGAATTTAAAATCCTGAGAAAGATAAATGATGAAAAGTTAAATGACAATACAGAAAAAAAGGGAAAGAAGAGGGAGGGAAGGAAGGAAGGGGAGAAAGAAAGAGGGAGGGAAAGAACGAAAGAAGAAAAGAGAGAAGGAAGCAAAGAGCGAAGGAAGGAAGGAAAGAGAGAAGGAAGGAAGGAAGGAAGGAGAGAAGGAAAGAAAAGAGGGAAGGAAGGAAGGAAAGACAGAAAGAGAAGGAAGGATGGAAGCAAAAAGGGAAGGAAGGAAAGAGGTAGAGAAGAAAGAAAGGAGAGAAAGAGAGGGAAGGAAAGAAGGAAAGAGAGAAAGAAGCATGGAAGCAGAAAGTGAAGGAAGGAAGGAAAGAGGTAGAGAAGGAAGAAAGGAGTGAAAGAAGAAGGAAAAGTAAAAGGGGGGAGGAAGAAAAGCAGTAGAGAAGGAAGGAGTGAAGGAAAGAAGAAAAGGGAAGGAGAGAAAGAGCGAGGGAAAGCTGACCACAGCAACACGTGGCGGGTACAGCTAGTTATTATATATAATATAATATATTATTATTACTATATCCCTATATTATTAACAGTGTTCCCTTATTATAATTTGAGGTCTGGAATGCTCGTCCCTTGTAGGGTTGGCAAGTATCCCTTTGCCATTCCCTGAGTTTCAAACATCCGACTCACAGTTAAGAACAGGGCGGTGTGTAGAGTACCGGTAATTATCCTGGGGAAAAAGAATTATGATCAAGGGAGCCTCCACTGAAGTTTTCTCCCCTATCTTTGTTTCCACAACAAGCCAAATTTTCCACAGGGACAGAAATCTTCTGAATGGACAGCAAAACAAACACCACAGGGGTGTTAACCCTTCTCTATACCATCCAAAGCTTTTATATATCTCAGTGGTTCTCAAACTATGGGTCCCTAAGTGTTTTGGCCTACAACTCCCAGAAATCCCAGCCAGTTTACCAGCTGTTAGGATTTCTGGGAGTTGAAGTCCAAAACACCTGGGGACCCTCAGGTTGAGAACCATATATATATACTAGCCGTCCCCTGCCACACATTGCTGTGGCCCACATGGGTGTTCTGTGTGAGGGGTTTGGCCCAATTCTATCGTTGGTGGGGTTCAGAATACTCTGTGATTGTAGGTGAACTATAAATCCCCGCAACTACAACTCCCAAATGTCAAGGTCTATTTCCCCCAAAGTCCATCTGTGTTCCTATTTGGACATATGGAATATTTGTGCCAAGTTTGGTCCAGATCCATCATTATTTGAGCCCACAGTGCTCTCTAGATGTAGGTGAACTACAACTCTAAAACACAAGGTCAATGCCCACCAAACTAGTCTAATGTTTTCTGTTGGTCAGGGAAGTCCTGTGCGCCAAGTTTAGTTCAATTCCATCATTGGTGGAGTTCAGAATGTTCTTTGATTATAGGTGAACTATACATCCCAGCAACTACAACTCCCAAATGACAAAATCATAATTTTTTGAGTGATGGTCACTCCTTGGGTAGTGAGACGTTTAGATGCCAAATTTGGTGTGATTTCATTCATTGGTTCTTTTGTTTTTAAGGTACTCATTATGCACAGAGCATTTTTATACACACGCACACACACACACAGAGGTCCCCTGGTGGTGCAGCAGGTTAAATTGCTGTGCTTGCTGACCGAAAGGTTAGTTGTTCGAATCCGGGGAGCGAGGTGAACTCCTGCTGTTAGGCCCAGCTTCTGCCAACCTAGCAGTTTGAACAGATGCAAATTTACGTAGCTCAAAAGTACCGCTTCTGTAGGAAGATAATGGTGCTCCAAGCAGTCATGCTGGCCACATGACCTTGGAGGTGTCTATGGACAACGCCGGCTCTTCGGCTTAGAAATGGAGATGAGCACCACACCCCAGAGTTGAATACAACTAGACTTATTGTCAAGGAGAAACCTTTACCTTTACTTACATACATATATAAACACACATATATACGCATACATACATATATTTGGGTGGAGTTATACTTCCTGTTGTCTCACCTTCACTGTGAGTCGGATGTTTGTAACTTGGGGAATGCCACAGGAATTTGTTTTGTATCTTCCAGTTTTCTAACTCCCATAAGGGACACCTGCCAGCCCTATAGAGGACAAGCTTTCCAGACCTCAAATTAGGCACATCCCAGATGATAAGCGGGCAGCTCGCAACCCCATAAGGGACAGGCTTACCTCCAAATCATAGTTAAGAACGGGGCTGAGGCAACAGGAAGTGAGAGAAAGTGACCCCTCGGGAGGAAGAGAAATTCACCCCTGGGGAAATGGAGTCTCCATTGAAGCTTTCTCCCCAATTCTTGTTACCACAACAAGCCAAATTTTCACAGGGACAGAAAGTGAGATGAAATCACACACACATACACACAACTTTCGCTATGAGATCCAAAGCTAATAATAATAATAATAATAATAATAATA